AAACCACTTTGATTGGGAGGGGCCAAGAAACATCAACAGAGCTAGCAGCAAAAATACCCAAAATAATAATAATTTTTAAAAAATCTATCTATTACTACCACAGAATTAGTGAGAGACAAACTCCACTGTCCCCAGCCGCTTTGCAGGACTGCATAAGCCCTTGGATCACAGGGGATGGCAAACCTGCCTCAGTGGACCCAGCGAGGCAACTTAACCCGTTTCAGCAGGGCCAGAATTCACCTGTAGGTTTTCTAAATATAAAATACAGAAATAAAAAAGATACTATATTTACAGCAATAGCACCTACCCCTGTTAAGTGCAATACATCCACCAAAGTAATCATTCTCTGGCCATGTTCCATCACGTCGCCGTCTCTCTAGACTTGTTGGTAGAGGTAACATACATTGATTTCAGTGGTAATTTACTGCAGTAAAACTATAATAAAGGAGGACAATAAAACTGCTCATAATATATGTATAGAATATTATTACTTAGAATATTCAAATAACTTATAGAGACAAACTCCAAAGGTGACTATAATGCATCATATTGTAGTTATTTGTTACATCCGACCTTAGACTACACTGAGGTGAAACCTCCAAAAACTAACAGTGAGTGCCACCAATTTTAAATGGCAAAACTCATCCTCACCTCCCATCGCCCTGACAGCTTGGGTCAGGACTTGCAAAGCCTGCTCTGAGCGTGGGTTGTCACAGTGGCCACAGTTGTCAGGACTTGTCTGGGCCCCCCCTGCCATATCGCCCTGCAGAGAGCTGCTCCAGGTGGGACAGATGTGGGACAAGCTGTTGGGAGCTCTGCCCTGAGAGCCCTCTGGACTGAAGGAGGAGCCTGTGAAGGAGCATGTCCTGTCTCCTCCCATCTCCCAGCCCCTGGCCGCTCACTTGCTCTGTAATTCAGAGCACAGGCCGCTGATCTTGCCTGTTGTCTGAGCGGTGAGAACACAGCAGCAGTTGATGCAGAGGAGGGAAGTAGGTGTGGATTTCAGTCCTTTCACACGACACCGGCTGACAAATAAATGACTAATAGCGTGAGCGGGGCCGAGAGCACAGAAAGGGTTCCAGCGCCTTCACTGACGTCTCATTCATTTTGGAATCACCCTCAGGCCACGCTCTGCATGTGCTTTGTCCCTCCGAAGGGCCAGCCGTCAACATACATTTCAATACATTTCCCCAAAACGTGCAATCCTTTAAAAAGGCAGAACTGGCTAAAGGGACAATACCATTTCCCAAGGGTACAGAAGTCCACCTCGGAGCAGTCACTACTGACGTGCCTTCCCAGGTATCATGGGCATCCTGCAGTAAAGAAGCAAATTCTCATTCAGAAGAGCCCATAAGTGACTGTACAGAAAGCTCTCCCTCTTCGCAAGGAAAAAGAAATGACCATTGCTTTGTAAAGTAACATCATTCTTCAATAGTCACACATAGGGGCTGCTTTCCCAGTCAGCCTCATGGCTTGCGCCATGAAGTGGCCAGTAGATGGCAATGGATCATCAGACACGTATCTGCAGTCTGCGAAAGCAGGAGGTGCAGGAGGGACAAACCATAAGGATCACACAGGATCCTGTGCCAAAACTGAGGACGTTTTGGCAATCCAGCACCTGGCTGTGCTCTAATGACCCGTTAGAGGTGTGAGAAAACCTTACTGCATTAACTGTAGGAGTACCTGATCCGACCCGGGCTCTCCCTGCTGGAATGTCACAGAGCTCCGGGGCTTGGGCTGCTTCAGGCTGACGCTTCCGTGGTTTCTGCCCTTGCACACCGATGGTGCAAAATACAGTCATTAAAAGGTTTCCAAGAGCTTTTTTCAGCAAAAGTTAAAATAAATCAAACAGACTCAAGCAGTTCTCCAAATCTGCCAAGACTGAGTGGAAAGGTAACAAACAGACCGAATATTAAAAGAGAGCAAAACAGTCTGGATAGAAGCAGCAGTAGGAACAGAGACAACAACAAGAAATCTGATCTTTACAAGTTAGTCCTGTATCTGCAGACATGGACACAAAATGAAGGAATGCAACAAATGAGCCAAAGCTGGGGAGACCTGCCCCAGGTTCCTCTGAGCTCTGCTCCCTGGTGCTGCAGCCCAGGGACTCCTATCACAAACCAAGCACCGGGGCTGCTAGCGAAAAGGCACGGGGGGGCTGTCCAGCATGGGGTACTGCAGGTCAACAGTATGTTCAATTTTGAGAGCCACCAATTTTGTAAGAAAATGTTATGTATCATGCAGCAGGTCTTTTATCTTCAAGGTCTAGTTACCTTTAACTGCTAAAGTGAAATTGTAAAGATGATTGTTCCAGTTTCAGTAAGACCTAAGTGATCAAGTTCATCAACGGGAAAGCACAGGAAGCACCTCTCTCCCACAAACTACTGCCTCCCGAGCGAAGCAAAGACTCCACACAATTAGGCAGGCAAACACTTGTTCAATGCTAATGTCAACAGTAAACATTTTATTCACAAAAATAAATACAAAATTACTCTGACATTGTTAGAAAGCAGTGTTTGAAGTTACACTCTGATCAGCGGGAAATAATTGCTATAAACGTTCCAAAAGTGAAAGCCACATACGAAAAAGAAATTAGTTCACAATTTATGCAAAGAAAAACACAAAACCCATTTTACTGCATCCATTCAAAAACAAGGCTGGTTGGACAAATCAATGACCCAAAGGCAAGCAGACTAATAATCTACAAATATACAAAACCTATGAAAAACAATTTCTTGCTGCTTCAAACATCAATTGCACTTGACTTTGAATGGCATTTGACTTTAGCTGCAAATGACCTGTAAAAGGAGGAATGACACATTTGATTTTTTTTTTTTTTGCGATAACTGAGTTATACTCCTGGATGCTATTCAAAATTAATTTGCAGTAATGCATACTTCAGAAGCTGCACATAGTTCCTCGTAATTGCTTGCCCAGTTTAAACTGAAAAGGCCTTTCCTGTTGGACGTGTAGCCATAGCAAAAAAATGACTAACTTTACTGGCTTTGATACATGAAAGGGAATTAACACTGAATTATTCTTAGCAAAGGCTGAGGTATTTTTATAGGAAAGCATTAACAGTTTCACTATCAGAAGCTATTAGAAACCATGCTGGATTATTTCCAAGGCCAAGCCCAGGCTCGGGTAAGCCTGTGGTGCGGCTCTCTCAGGACCTCTGACATGTGTTTCTGTGGCCACCACCCACCCCATCACCTGCAGGTGAGTCCCCACTCCCAACACACCGAGCTCCAGGCAAGAGCCTTGGGCTTTTCCAGCAGAAAGTTCAGGAATGGCCTTAGCTCACGGGGCCCGATGGTGGAGGAACTGTGTCAACCCAGAGATGAAGATGGAAGGCATCACACTGAAGGTAATCGTACTTAATGATACAGCTGAAAGCTACTTTGCCCCCTACAACCCTGGTCCTCTGATGCAGCTCACAGCCTGACCCTGTTCCCTACCTTCTCCCCAGTATTTGACAGCAACTTCCCTAGTCCCTTGCCAAGGAAGACGGGGTGAGTCTAGGAGACGGCTCAGGAAACGCACCAAGTTTGGGTTCTTGCCTTCTATCCATTTCAGGCAGCCTCAGCGCACCCCGCTCCTGCATGAGACCCTCGCCAGCTAGCCTGAGTTGCGTTAAGTAGCGTCAGCATCTCCTGGCACCAGCTGGCTCAAGGACTGTCCTTTTAAAGTGGGGTGAATGCACATACACATAGAGGTAGGGAGCTACCTACACTGGCTAAGACAGTCCAACTCCAAGGGAAAATTTTCCCCAGGAGCCTAATACAGAATTTCAGTTTCTTCTGCAGCTTTTCTCCTCTGATGAGTTTAGCTCCAAACATATAATAGTGTATTTAAATTTCACTGTCTTTCACAAAAAAAGTCACAGTAGAAAAGTGTTGTGCTTGCAAATGTAATTTCTATATAGCATTTAGAGTTCCTGTATACTTAATAATAATGCATCTGCACTTAAAAATCGACATTCAAACTCACTACTGGCACAAGCAAGCCTGCTGTTGCGGGTGGAATGCATCTCCCGTACATCAGAGGGGAATTCAGCCTCAAACTCAAAACTCAACGCTGAGACAAAGACCAGTGGCTCGGCACTCTCAGAGGACAGGTGACGCTCGCTGCTAGCACAGAGCACGAGCGTGGCTCTCCCGGCTGCTCCCACATGTCTGCACCGCCTCTGACACAGAACCAGGCACAAAGCCACTGTGAGAAAGCAGGAGGGCTGTCTCCCTTCCAGTTTTGGGGTGAAAACGGCCCTCCAAAATTATCTCGCCCAGGCACCCTACCTGTCCATCTTTGTCACACGCAGGAATAAGCAAATGAGAATTTATTCCTGCATAAAGCAGATATATTGCTTGTCCCCTCTAAGAAGGATTAAGGGACGGACCACTGTAAACAGAAATAAAATATTCTTATCTAATGTAGCATGGAGAGGGTTCATTTTTGTTAAACAAATTGACCTAAAGTTGAAGGGAAAATAATGGTGAGAAAAGCACGCAGTAACTGACACCAACTCTTCCTTTCTTCTGCACGCAGTACTAGCCCAAGCTATAATTATGGCACAAGATTAGAGCAGAGACAGAAGGCAGCAGATGGTGCATTCAGGACATGCAGATTTTAGCTTCAGACAAGTCAAGAAAGCTGAAGAGTGGGACTGAATGTCCATTTGATACAGATGAAGATGCTATACTGAGAGACAGTTTTGGGAAGCATTTATTGAATAAACTTGTACAGCTATCCTGCCCTTCAGCACAGAAAGGATCCAGGGTTACCTGCGTTATCAGCAACTTAGGAATTGGAGACGTGGTTTGGAGGTTGCTTTAGAAAACACACAAATACATTAAGGGATTAAACTGCTTGGTTGTGCAGTAGTTATGTGTAAAATCTTCTCTCTTTGCTGAAGCACAAAAGAGAGCAGCTAGTATCTGCAGTATTCCTTATAGTCACTGCAGGAAATTTTGCAAATAACAAATCAACTTGTTTTTTTCAAGGAGCACCACTTGATATGGCCATTAGGAAAAAAATTACTGGGATTGCAGTGAGGCACTCCAGGAGGACAGGCCGGACTCCAAAAGATGGCAACGTCCAGAAATCCCATCGACATCCACTGAAGCTAGATGTTCTCCGCTTCCATGTGAACGTACCAACCCGAGTGGCAAGACTAGCCAAGCAACAGCCACATAGTAAGGCTCCACGCTCGGTGTTAATAGTACAGCACAGGCAAGGTTAAGGAGCTCGTGAGGGTACACTGGTAGGGATCATAGCAATTCCAGTCTGAAAATGCTCTCCTGACATCACTACTGAGGCATGCCAGAGTCCAGCATGACAAGGGACAGATTAATTCCTTCATTTTCCGGTGTGCTTGTTCCCACATGGGGCAAGTCCCTGGTGGACTATGGCTTCAGTCCAGGAACGCCTTCAACTCTTTGAAATCACCGATTCAATCGGCTGATGGTTCCCATGCTTAAAGTACTCCTCTCCTTACAAAGTTACTGGATGAGGACCTTTTATCAGTGGTCAGTGATAAATCAGTGTTGGCTTTTCACTTGCTGAGAAAAAAAATCCATATTACATATTTAATGAAATTCTTCATGATAAAATATCTTCTCAAGTGTGTATTATTCCAGTTTATGCACAGAAGAGCACTATCCTTTTCACTTCTCAAAAGCAACAAGGTTAAGCAGATGGGACTGTTGCTGGGGCACTGGGAGAGGAACCTCTCTTCCCAATTGTAAGGTGATATGATTATACTATGGCAGTTACAAAATTGGATCATTCACATTTCTTGTTAACCTGGGATACAGAAGTAAAGAGAACTGATGTGCTGGAATCTTGTGCTTCCCTTCCACCCAAAATTCAATTGCACCATGAAGGGTCCCTAGGGTGTTAGAGGGGGAGGATATGCAGCTGAACTGTACTAATCTCACTGCCTCTTCAAACTTCAGCATCTAGAGAACATTGAATCTGGTAGAAAAAACACCAGGAAAGACAGGATGCAACACCTGAGCGAGCTCCTGGATCTCTCTTACAACCCTGGTGGCTGCATCACATGAAGTCCGCATGCCAGCAGGAGCGATTTCCTGCGTATTCTAAGTTTGGTATTCACCTAGCTGTCAATCTCAGCTTTACTCTGTTGCTGTCTTTAAGGAATGCATTATTCCAACAGAACAACCAAAAGTCACGCTTTGTGACGTTTGTGACACAAGTCTGCTGAACTCAACAGGAATCTTTTCAGCACTTTGCAGGGTTTTCCCTGTAGCCTTTCATCACTTACTCTTCCAATGTCAAGGTGTTTTGGTTACTGATGCAAGACATGCTTTAACTCCCTTCTCCCCATAGCTTTTTCAAAACAAGGACATTAGGCTTTTTTGAAGTCATCCAGCATCCAGAAACATCTAGCAACATCTAGGTTAGCAGCTTGTCTGAAAAAGGTGGTGCGTTTGGTGCTTTTTTCGGGAGAGCTTGTCTTAAATTCAAAATGGAGACAAATACTCGCTCTGGTCCCTCATCCTCCATAGAATTTCTCATCACTAACATATTAAAGTACTTCTGTGCTTCTCCTACCATTTACTGTTGTTGCTGTTTTTTGCCATTTGTTTTTTGCCTAAATAATTTTTATTTAAATTTAGCTTTGGAGTACATAGTATTTTCATCTATGTCACTATTCTTTCTTAGCTCTTCAAAATAGTTCCTTGAAAAAGTATGTATAGAAAAATATTTACTAACTATAAAATAGAAAACATATATTTGGCTTACAAACAAGTGTGTGATTTACTTATCCCAGAAAATTGAGTAGGGATGGCAAGACCTCATTTTCCTCATATCTGAAGCTTTTCAGCTGAGTTGAGCAAGGCCTATGAAGTGACTTCTCCAAGTTCACCCAGACAGACTAACTCAGCTAAGATTAAAAAACAGGATTCTTCTGCATCCAGGTAACCATTAGGCTGTACTTGGATCAAGTTACTGCCTTTTCTACTGTGGATTCCTATGAAACGGGTTTGGAAAAGATGTTAATCTTATTGCGGTACCATTTGTACTAGAATCTCATGTTTAATAAGGGTTCAAAAATGTGGAAATTTTACTTCCAAGTGCACCATTTTACCTGGATAACACCCCACAATTAACACAGCCACAAGAATTTTGATTCTCTTCCTCTTCTTGCACTACAGTAAATCTTTAGCTACTGGCTACAGACACTGCTCCAGCGTTTTAGGGAACGGATGCACTCTTCAGCATTTGTTTCTGATCTCACAGCTTCTCTTAAAGCTCTTTGATGCTATTGCTGGAATTTTTCATTTTACATTAAAAGAAACAACAAAAAACAGTCATAACTGCACCTTCATTGGTCACAACCTCCCTTTCAACAGTTGAAATCCATGATTCTGAC